GGTTTCTAACCACCTTTTCGCATGCCCCGCCAGAGAATGGGGGGAAAGGTGGAGACGGATCGCATCATCGTGTACACCATTCATCTTGAATCCATTTGTAAGCTACAGGAACTGGGAAAGGTGCACCCTTGCCTCCTTATCCTTCAAGCCATGGAACTGGATAGAAGATGTAATAAGTTGAATCCAGCATGGCTTGATCTCGAAGTTGTACACTGGAATGGGCGGATAGAGGATGAGTGGATGTCGGCGACCTGTGGAGTGTAGTAATACTCCATGGTAGGACCCGGCGGCGGTGGTTGATGTTGAACCCCATCTTCCTGGGGAACTGGGTTGTTCCCCAGGATCTGATGCACTGGGGGAACCTGGAGAGGCATCCCCTTGGGCGGGTTTTGTGCACCGTCCATCTCGTACTCCTCCTCAGAATCGATGCTCAAGTGGTTGTCGATGCGCACTTCCTCCGTAGCCAGTCTCACTCACTGTTGTCTCCTTAGTTGGTGACAGGTGCGTTCTAGCTCCGGATCTAATGGTAGTAAACCTCCCGACTGTTATGGGTCATGCACTACCTGCACACAGCCAAGCAAGCAAACCCGTGAAGGCACCGGGAAAAAGCAAACAGTCAATGCGAAAATGGAAATGCTAAAGTAACAGAAATCACGTTTCTTCAACAACCTAGCTGTCCCCGTCAATGGCGCTAAAAACTTGACACGCTTCTACTGTCAGACTAGAAAGTGGCCAAGTGTAACCACCTACTAATGCGTATTATAGCGGGTTTAGTTTTAATTGTCAACCCGGGTCCTAGGTGTGATGACTACTCCGTGAAAGTCTTTTTATCTAGCGGTTCAAGTGTAGTGAAGATTTAGTTAAACTAGCAAGCAAAGCAGTGAAAATTGTGTTCACGTTGAGAGAGGTCACCCGGATATGGTTCCCCCTAGACTGCAGTTAAGCCAGGTTGTAATTTACCAAGTTCAAGTTCAATGATAGTTATACTGCGGGAAGTTCTTAAACAGTCTGCAGTCTCAACTAAAGGTCTCCAGACCCTCTCAATCTGAGTCCCCAGCGGGCGACTAACCTCCAACGGAGTAAACAGGTTGAGGCCCTAACAAACCAAACCTCCTCTACCGAAGTAAATCCGGTACAGAATAGTGAATTGACTCCTCGACTAAAGTCGTCAATTCACTACCTTCAATCAAGGGTGCTCTATCAACCTAGGCAGCTATTCTATTTCTAGATCAAAGCAGAAATAACAGGAATTTGATCAGGATTCATGCCATTCAAGAAATCAAACCTCAATTGAATATAATCATATCACTGAATTCGTACTTGGGTTCATACAATCAGACCTAACATACAAATCTAGGGTTCTTCATACCCAGGTGAATGAGAAAGTTACTCCATAGAAAGAGACGGGAAATCTATCTCAGACGCGGAAACAATACTGTGAAAGGATGGGATTCTGCTTCTGGCAATCAATCAGCACTTCTCCAAGCTCAAGCCATATTCCAATGGTGATGAAGATCGATCTAGGGCGCTTGAAGAATCAGGTTCGTCAATTTCTCTCTCTAGGTATACGCTTTTTCTCTCTAAAACTCGAAACCCTCGCAAAATTGGGCTTCTTTCCCTTAAAACCCAATTGTTCGCGATCCCCAGTCGTAATCCCCGGTCGGGTATTTCAGGTGCCCGGCCAAGGATTTTGGAACGCAGCGCAGCAACAAGGGGTTAATACCAGTGTTATGAAAACCGGGCCGGACCGGCCGGTTAGACCGTGGAAAACCGGACTCGGGCACTGATCCGGTCCCGGAAGCATAAAAGCGGCAGGAATCCAGCGGGCCGGCTTTTGTCCATTTTTGCTTTCGTTTTTTCAATTGAAAAGACAGATCGGTAGGTAGCTTTTACTTTCTTCAATTGAAATATTCAAAAAAATAGCTAAACCAACGGAAAAAGGAAAGTTTGTACAGAATAAAATTGAAAAGGAAAGAAATAATCTCATTCCCATTCCCTTGCTCTAGCAGCCACCTTCCTTTTCAATTTTGATTTTAAGATATTATCATAAATTGAGAAAAAAATAGACAATGATTGATTTTGACTTTGCATTATTAGCTAGCCAGTTCCGGTTTATGAACGGGTTTTAATACCGGTTAATCACCGGTTATTCGATAAACCGTGAACCGCTTGCTAATCCGGATCGATGTCCGGTTCGGTTTTAACAACATTGGTTAATACCCATCGAGGTCCAGATACCCGATTGGGTATTTTTGCTCTCTGGCCGGGACCCCTTCTAAACTTCAGACGTCCCAAAATGCTTTTCCTCGGCCTCGCCTTGCATTTTACCCGGTCGGGTATTTTAACTCCTAGTCGGGTATTTTGCTCCTCCAGCACCCTTCTACTCCAACGTCCTCCTTTTGACCCAAACCTCGTTTCCTCGCCTTCACGTCAACGCCAAGTCCTGAAATATGACATTAACACACAACCTAGCGTGAAATCGGCTTAAAACACGAGAATCGACTCTCAAACGGCTCAAGAATGGAGGTAAAAACATGTGAAATTATTGGTCTATCAGGCCACTTGCGTTGGCCGATTCCGAATGTATTTCAGATGCCCCAGAATGTATTTATAACTCTGCAGCTGGCTGAGTTTGGAACTCTGATGTTGAGACCTAGACTGGTGTTTGCCTGCCTAGTCTTATTTGTATCTTTTTGTCTTGTTGATTATTAATAAATTGATGTCACCATTATAAAAAAAAAACAGAGACTAACGGAGAATTAAATATTTTTAGTGATCAAACGTGAACGTTTTTAGTAATCTCACTGACCAACCTTGCAATTTAACCATTTCATTAATTTTGTCTTCAACTCAGGGGCGGAGCTATGTTCAAGGTAGGGTGGGCCCCGGCCCCTATAATATTAAGGATATTTTGTACAAATTTTATAAGTATTACTTGTTCTGTAAATTCTATCATCATGTAATAGATAGTCTAATGAAAACGAAGCTTGACTTTTGTTTTCAAGGACATAGGTTATTTTGCTTTACCAACTTTTTATACTTTATTAATTTACCTCCCCCCTCTACAATTCCCCAAACAAAATCGAAACTCCTCATTTATTGTGAGAGAGTACCAATAAAAGGCCAACTCTTTTTATTTAGTTTAATTAGTTCGAAGTCTCAATTTTCATTATCATTCCCAAAATCAAACCGAAAAAATGATAGCCAAAAGTTTTTGTTTAGATTCTATTTTGAGTTATTTCAATGATCAAAGAACATCTTGTACATCTAAAATCATTATAATTTTTTTATTATTTAATTATTTTTGACTCCCCGGTCTCTAAATCCTGGCTTCGCGCATGCTCCAACTCATCTCAATGCATGTTTGGGCTAAGATATTATGAGTATCTAACATGTTCCTCAACTTAGTGTTTCACATAAATAATTCAGACTTATCAAATGAAATGATCAAATAAAGTCATTTTTCAACTTGATTCGCTGTATGTTGGATGTGTTAGAAAGCAAACTTATGATATGAACCTTCTTATGGTACCAAATTGTCAGTTCGATGATAAATCTGTCCGCGGATTGAATACACGAATACTTCACACCCACCATTCAAGATATGATTTTCTATAAATAAATAAAAAGATATGATTAATTTTTCCATCCAATTAAGTAAAACTAAAGATACAATTACAGATTATATTCTGCACTCCCAAAAATACTATGCAACTTTGCGACTCTTATAAAACCCTAAGGAATGGGGGGACTATTGAGGGACATGAAGCTTGGCTTTCCCTTATTTGCAACAGAAGGACAATTTTGAAGTGAAAGATTTTTTTTTTTTTTGGGTTGTACTTCCGTTTTTTTGACATAACAATAACACGACACTAACATAGTTCTAGTTGCTAAAGTTGCAATCTTTCAAAACTAACTTGTGTTGCTAGAATTTTGCATTACATTTACCCTTCTATAAATTCCACTGACAAAAAATGTTAGCTAGATAGTCACTACGTCTCCTCTTCACATTACCATCTAATATTAATTCAGTAACTAACGAGGACAAAAGAAGGTAAGTGGTATATATGTAATATTACGCCTATTTGTATGTGTATTTTAGTGAACATTCCCCTTGTAGCTATACTACCCATCAATCCTCAGAACTATGGAGGCTCGAGTTATTTCGTTGCATTATGAAAATAAGTTCCCATCAAACACTTTACATGTGTCGACTTAGCTGATGGTTAAGTTTGATTCGAAATGGAGAAACTTTACAATGCATATTGCGAAGGAAATATTTTAGAAAGCCATCCGTTGTGTCAAATGGATTTGGAGACATCATTAGTTTGAGTGAAGTTGAAATACGGAATTCCAAAGCATCAATTGGTTGCATATGAAATTTCAATGTGTTTGCACAATGATAACGACTTTAATAGAGTCGAAATACAAGTGTCTATAGAAAAGAATTATATTTGTGAATGGTTGTGGATTAAGTGGAATCGATATGAAAAAAGCAAACTTCTAAAAAACAAATCAAAACAAAATTATTGAATGCATTTGTGGAAGAAAATTCATGGTAATCATTTCTGTCTTCTATTCGAAAAAGCTTAATCCCAATAATAATGTATAGTGGCACACTACCAATTAGCAACTTGGCAAATGACAACAGATTAACTTTATTAGCCCTAGTTTACACAATTTTATTATAATAACATAGGATATAATCCAATTTGATTCAGAAAGAACAAAGAAGATATATTTAATTATATTCATAATTGGAGATAGACATTACATCATGATCATGATCACTCTCAAGTTTCTAATTAGTCATGACTTCGACCCATGGAATACGTTGCATGGCCCTGTCAAATCATTCTTCTATGGCTAATACCCATTTTCTGAAAGAGATCGAGCCTTTACAAAAATGACCATGGAACAACAAAACTACAAAAGCTCTGTAGCTACTTGTCAAAACTGAATCAAGCAGATTGCAAAAAAAGCATGCCACAGTCGACTAATCACGCAGCAGGGGCGAAATCGAAATCCCCACCATCGTCATCATCATCGCCATCATCGGCTTCATTGTTACCAGCTGCAGGCTGGTAATGAAGCCTGCAACTGTGGGCTTCATGTTCTTCCCCATTCGTGGCCTGGAACAGCAGCAGCATGGCGATGTTCAACAGAGGAGTATCCATGGACAGCGAGGACCTACTTGAGGAAGGCATATTGAAAGATTAGTAGTAGAAAAAGAAGAGAGCAGAGCTGTGAATCTGTGATATGGGGTTCTTTTGATTTGAATTTGTGATGATTCTGTGAGTTGCGGAGTGGGGAGGAATATATAGAAAGGCAGGGGCGAGGAGGGGAAATTGGGACTCATTGGGGACTTATGTCGAACACGTGGTGGGCATGCAGCGATTGCAGAGGACAGAGGCCAAGCCTGTTGCTGGAGAGAGCCAGGTAGGTGGGGGATCCGTGGTTCTCGGGCCAGCTCAGCTTCCCATTGGACACTTCAGCCTGACACGTCGGCAGGCAGCTAGCCGCCGCCGACCTGTAATCGCATAGTAGTGGTGGAAATTGGAAAGGAAGCGAAAGGGCAGAGGAGAGCATCTTGATCTTCCCTTTTTTGAGGCTCCTCTGCTTTTGGTAAGGTCAAGGTGCGGCTTGGCCATTTGGCATATAAGCTTAAGAAAAAGAAAGTTTACCTTACTACTGGCCTTTGGCTGTTTGCTTCTTGACTTTTTCAGGGTATATGAGTCATTTAGCTCGTATGACTAACGATAAGCATGATTGGTTGAAAAATGAGGACAATTAAGATGACTTCTTGCTTGACAGTCGTGACTCGTGATCTTGTAAAAGTCACTCATGACCCATCAATAACAATAGTTACGCCTAAATATTTATTATCTAGCCATTATGTATACTTGATAAAATCATACACCCAAACCAATACTTAGAACGATTTATGAACACTTTTTTGTTGCAGAACTCCCTCACGTTGCTAAGGCTCGAGTTTTAAACGTTTCAAATTCAAACATGCTACTTTACCATCTCCACCATTCATCGTCCATAGTTTAATATTTGAAATTTACATATAACATATACCATAAACACACTTTTCAAAGATTATATACTAAGATAATAAGTATTTTATTGTACTTTATGGAATTATGTTAATTATTGCCATTTTTCCTATAGTGGAAATTTAGTTGAACAAGTGGTTGGATCATATTGGACAATTCAGAAATTTGCATAGTGGAGGTGGCTTATTGTATTGTATCTCCTACTTGGATGACCCTTTTGGGGGGGTTTTCTGTGGTGCTAAACAACATGTGGGGAAAGAATGAACAAATAAATTATTAATAATAATGTAGAGTTTAAAAATGTAACTTGCTTAACAAATCTAGGGTCCATTAGAATTCAGAACAGTAAAAAGCTTTTGACTAAATTGTAATGATGAAATGGCTGCGGAAGTTGAAAGTTGAAACTATGTGGTATGCCTTTCAACTAGTAAAAAAAATGAAAATATACCGTATATGAACTTCGACAAACATGTTTAATATATATAAAGGTGAAGTAGGTTTACTGTTGTCAAAATTATTATATTTTGATATCTCAAATTTTATTAAATTACAACTTAGTCATTATAATTTACATTTTATATTTTGATATCCCAAATTTAATTTTAATGTAAAATCATTGAATAATTGTGTTTTGGTATCTAAATCTTATGAGATTTTCGTACCTATAATTTTTTACATTTACATATTGGTCCAATATTTCACTTGAATCCATGAATCCAATTCACCAATCCTTTTAAACCAATCGATTAATCCAAGCCACCATAACATAAAAGTACAAATTTAGTTTGTAACATACAATATGGTGTATCACTCAACTGTAAGAGAAGATTCGACCAAATTATATTTGTTCATTACGTGAAACATTAAATAAATGATAAAAGAGAGACGATTCTAAAATATTGCAAAGCGAATTTATAAACTCATTTAGTACATTTACGGGGTACTAAACAAACTTTTGCTAACTACACGCAACAAAATATGTGACATCTATATAAGCAAGTGTCAATAAATTATCGACAGCCAACTAAAAGAATTGGTTAAAACCTTTCCATCATCTACTTATTCTTCGTTTCATTTTTCACTCGCCTTCCATAACCCTTTTCTTTATTTCTTTCTTTGTCTTTTTCGTCTAACCCTAATTAGTATACTATTGTTTTTATGTATTCTAATCACAACTATGAATGAGTCCATGCACGACTGACCAACAGTCTAATTAATAATTGAACCATGACCACTAACTTTTTCAGCTCAATGTCGAGTCCAATTAAAAACAAATATATATGGTTATTACTTATTAGAAAGTCATCATTTTTCACTATGAGATTTGATGGAGTGAAATTTTGAACGACTTTCCTGATAAAAAAAAAAGAAATTGTAAACGAGTTTCAATTTGTATTCCTTTTGCTTCTCTCTAGAGTTTTTCTTTTTCACCCGGGTTAGAATTTTCAACAATTACTCATGAAATTTTCAACAATTATACATATATCAAATAAATAGTTATCATCTTAAATCATCTATGCAAATTAAATAAATAGAATTTTTCTATAAAAAATTAAATAATTATCATCTTAAATCATCACCATAAAAGGAATTAAGTCTCAACTATGCAAATTACAGTTATGTACCTAAATTTAATAGATCTTTAGATTTATAACCTAAATTTATTTTTTTGGCATATAAATCCTCAAAATATTGATGGAACATAACATTTTAGTACATAATTTTTTGTGTATTACATTTTAGTACCTGAACTTTTGAAGTTCTACAAATAGGTCTAATTTTTGTATGTGTAATGAAAACACCCTCGAATAAATGGGTATCCGTACCCAACACATACATATTTAGATTATGAATTTAAATATCCATACCGTATCCAAATCCATCTACAAACTTCCAAACCCATATATACGTCACTCATACCCTACCTATAATCAATGGGTCTACTTGGATTTAGGTAAATATCATTTAATAACCAAAAATTTTAAATTGGATGTTGACTGCCATCACCAAAGATATTAAAACCAACTTCAGGCCGTTGCGGAGCTCGGCCACCACCAATCTAGTATAAATTAAAGGAGAGCCGTGACAGAATACGGAGTTAGGAGAGGTCAAAATAGGAAACTAAATTAATATGAGTAGTGGTAGTCGGACTAAATGGGAGATATTGACTTATCGATTGTTTTATTTTGCAAATTCATCCAAAATTGTATTCTTAACTCTATGTAGTAATCACCGTAACAAGTCCCGCCAGCTTAACTTACAACATAGAGTTAAGAATACAATTTTGAAAGTTGTAATTACCGTGGTTACTAAGGGTAAATTGGGTATGAAAATTAAATTGTATTAATTAATTTTTTTAATAAATTACATTTTAGGTAGTTACATGAATCTATTAATTACAATTCTCTCTCTTTGTCTCACTTCCATAATCTCCAGCCAGATCCTCTTTCTTTATTTTTCACAATCTTTCTGCAAAAAAAAAAAAACACTAAATCACTACCAAATACCAATCCATTAGACAACCACTACCACTTTAAAAAATATCAATACCATTGCAGAAATAAATCTATATCATTACACGAAAACTACCAATATAAACAATCTACCAATATAAATCTATACCATTTCACAAAAAATCAATACCATTGCAGATTTAATCAATACCAAATTACCAATGCATGCAAATTAATACCATTACATGATAATCAATATCAATGTGACAAAAACAATATCAATGCAACAAAATCAATACCAATGCGATAAAAACAATACCATTGAGACGAGAGGGTCGGAGATAAAAGGATGGCCAACGGTGCCGATTTCTTTGACGACCTCCACGGTCTCGTACTCGCCCAAGTCGCTTGTCCATCGGCTCCTCCCTGCTGTCGGAGGGGGGGGGGGGGGAGAGAGTGGGTCGTGGGATTGGGTGGGGAGGAGCGGTGGACGGCGGGGGGAAAGGGAGGGTGAGGTGGGGAGGGTGGGGGTGGTGTGCGGGGAAGAAGGTGGAGAGAGAGGAGGAGGGGATGGAGGTTGAGAGAGAGAGAGTGAAGGAAAGGTGGTCGGGGGAATTTTGGCCAACAACGGCAAGTAAGAGGGACTGCGGGAGGGGAGGGGAGGGGATCGCGCGGGATGGAGGCGGCGGCGTCTGAGAGGGGTGTTGCTAGTAGGGTTTTGATAATAATATATAGAAATTTTTATTTTAAGAGATTGTAATCAAGTGTGTATAATTTTTTTATTTACGAAATTACCCTTAATCTAATCTTTATCGTACATTTAAAAGTAAGTTAAAATAAAAGTACTGAAAAGTGTAGATATTGGTAGCCACCGTGATTACTCATTTTTGAGTAATCACGCTAACGCATTCCTTAAGTTGGGTCATGCCCCTTCAATATTCCAAGAAAAAAATTCACATTCAATCTAAATGCTCCGAAGAGAGAGCATGAAGGATCAAAACAACGAATTTGTAACTCCAATGAGAGCTCTCATGAAACCCAGAGCAAGACTTCACTTGACTGGAAAATAGTATCAACGATCGAGCCCATCGGAGAAAGAAAAAGAATTTGTGTCATACTTGTTAGATCAAATTGCAGTGTAGGAGGAAATGAGATGACTGATTGATACATCCTCAATCTAACATAACTAACATTGACTCGATATCTAACAGCCGCGCGCGCTTCTTCAAATTGTTGATAGTATATGTGTTTCCGCCATATACAAACCAAATAGAAGTAAAAATCTTTACGAACACCCTAAATTTTCAAATACGCTTGTAATCAAGGTAACTCCTGCACTCCATATATAGTTGGAATTTGCTTATGATGCTGGGATAAAATGACTATTTTTATTAATTATTAGCTCACTTGAGCATGCAATTACATAGATTTTGGGCAGCTAACGAAAATCTCACTACTTCCAATGTAATGATACCATGATCTCAATAATTAGTCGAGTGGTATCAATAATTACTCGAGTTATTTAGAAAAATTTAATTATGAATCTTATATTATTTATCAGAAACAATCCATGCTCTCTATCAGTGGACGTACATCATAGAGTTTTGACTCAATTGCTTTGAGATGCAGTGTTCATAGCTTTGTTGGGAAGCTTAATATACAGTTTCAGGTTTTCTGGCCTGAAACAAAAGTGATATTAAGCACACAAAAAAATGAAAATGATTGATCGAGTAATTAAGATCAGCAGATTGTGGAGATCATATAAGTAGTAATGTATATTATCCTCAGTTTAAGTTTTATTGATTGTACACTTGATATATAGCTGCTAGCTAGGAGCAGCAACCCCCACCACTTATGCATCAAGCTAATTAAGGATAGGGTTTTGCAGCCTCATACATCGGAAGTGATCATGATCATCAGTAGCTATCTTATTAAACTAGGGTTTCCAAACCCTAGCTATCTAGGGTATGTGTGTATGACTTACTTTTATCTAACTGGATCTACACATATAGCAAAATAATATATAGTAGAGATATCAAATATGATTAGCTAGGGTTTTTGTGTCTAAGCTGCGGGAGCATAACCACCAGTATCATCACCATCATCGTCGTCGTCATCGTCGTCTCCTTCCATTGATCCTCTGATGACAAGATGGCAGCCTCTGGCTGCAGCATCGTCGTCATATGCTTCAGGCAAGCTGCAGCATGCAAACCCTAGCAACTCCCGGCTAATCTTCTTCATTACTATATACTCAATAATTTTCTTAAGAAATTTTGCGATCAGAACAAGAACAGAGAAGAATAAGGATGAAATAAAAGAAGGGTTTTGAGGAGGAAGTTAAGAGGGTAAAGGGAACGGGATGCTCCTTTTATAAATTTTACAGCAGCCAGCCAAGGTGGAGAGGAGGGAATTAGAATAACAGACGCCGGCCCGTGGGGAGGCGAGTCCAGTTGTGTGTCCGCCACGTGCCGTTACTACACCCACCCAACGCCCGACGTCCACGTGGCATGCAACGTCAACAGCCAGCTCTTACCTGGACGCTTCATGCATATCCCACGTGGCGCCCGTTTTAGTGATTCCTCCTCATGCAAGAAAACTGCCCTTAAGGTCTATTACTGAACGTATACGTACGATATATCTACGTAGATACGGTCCCAAGCACTTCAACCTTTGGTAATATATGGTCACATACAGTAAAGAACAATCGACAAGAAGATAATTGATGGTGCAGAATATACAATAACATATATTATTATAATTGAAATTTCAAAAGTAAATAACTCTGAATATAAAAGTTGTAAGAAAGTAGATTAACATTCATATATGGACGTATTCAATCGATTTGAGTTATTCAGGCCAACTGATTCTTGTATTGAAGTATGTTTGTTGGGGTGCGCGTCACATGTTCAAGAACGTTCTCACGACCCTCAATATTAAGTTTTGTCATAATTTAAAGTACATAGTATGAGAAGGTGTGTACAAATTTCAAATTTGTGAATCGGCTTATGTTATATTTGAGAGGATGTATACGGAAGTGATTAATATTCATACATAAATATCTTCATGTAACAACTCAATTTATTGAGTACAACTGCATCTCGACCAGGGGATAGACATTACGTCATACTATCAATTACATGACAGATCGCGAGTTAAGCCAATCTAACTAGGCACTACAAATCTTTATAGAGAGAGATAGCTATATCCATTCAACATATGTAATGGTCTTGGAGTAATTAGCTAGTAGCTTAATTATGAATTAAGTAGTCACAATATCAAAACTGCATCATGCATGCAATCAAGTGGATGAGAGACCCTTGAAATTGTGATTAATTAAGCAGCAGGGGCAAAATCATAATCTGCACTATCGTCGTCATCATCTCCATCGTCGGGCTCACCATTACCAGCAGCGGCAGCAGGGGCTTCATAATGATACCGGCAACCACCGGCCGCTTCCTGTTCTCCATTCGCCAATAGCAGCATGGCAATGCTCAACAGAGCAGTAGCCTTGGGCGATGAAAACAACCTCAAGGAAGACATATTGGTGAAGAAGAAGCCGAAGAAGAGGAGCAGAAATGAGATATATGGGTAAAAGCTTTGTGATTGATTGATTCTATGTGTTGGTGAGTTCTGGGAAAGAAAAGGGTCGGATGGGCGAGAATATATAGAGAGGGAGTAAAAGTTGGAGCTCGTTGGGGACATAGGTCGAACACGTGGTGTGCGTGGAGAACTGAAGCGATGGCAGAGGGAAACGAGAGCTTAACCTAGTGCTGGAGAGAGCCAGATGGGTGGAGGGTCCGTGATTCCCGGGGCCAACTCAGCTTCCCAATTGACAACACGTCACCCTAGCTAACACGTCAGCGGCAGACATTTGCCGATCTGGAATTGCATTAATTTGCTGCAAGAGAGCATCTTGATATTCCTCTCTTTTGGGCCTCTCTGATTTTGGTAAGTTAATGGTTGGAATGGAGTTACTCTCAAGAGGACGACAAAATATATATATATCCCAACAACTCCAAATTTTTCTTGCATTTTGTTACTCTCCCAAACAACATTTTGATTTTTCCAGAAAAAACAATAAACAACATTTTGAAATTATTTGGAGATTAAGCTATTAAATTTACACAACCTTTTAATTATAACTAGTAGATCTGAGCCCGCCCGTTAGCGGATGAATTCCATCAATGATACGCATAACAATAGCAATTGTCTGAAGCATAATTAGTAAATACTCTGTTTAATACACGTATATGTATCTGTATGTATTTTATCCGTTTAAAACTTCTGTATCCGTATTATTGTGAAGTCGTTTCATTTTTCCGTTTATTTGATGGCTCCCGTACTAAACACGTATAAAACCCATATAACATGTTTAATATATGTATTTAATGAATTAAATTGCTAATTTTTCTATTATTTATATATTTTTAAATTTTTTAAATAATTAATTATATATATGACTATTGACGTACTATTGAACGTAATATTCGCTTACAGATGAAGTAAAACACCCATACGTATTTTATACGTAACTTTTCCTTACCGTATTTTACTAACTATGACCGTATTTTACTAACTATGGTCTGAAGTAAGACATTTTTTATTTCTTACCATAAAAAATTTAAAATTATTTAATTAATGGAAATATGAAAAAGTACCATACTCGTAAAATTTTCGGACGTGCTAACATATTTATTAATAAAGTTCCTTACCCTAAGTAAAACTGAAATGCTAAATGTCGTCCTAAGTTTACTACTTGACGTCCTAACTTTAATATGCAATTTACCAATTGGTCCAAATTCAAATTTCAAATTAAAGCAATAACAAACAACCCCTTATATCTCCTCCCTGACAAAGAGTCGATCCTCTCTCCTCTCTCAAACTTTCACGTTCTCTCTCCGAAGCCCCAACCCAACCCTCTGGAACTCTTTTTATCCCAGCCGTCGCCGACCGTCCCACCATCGATCTAGTTCCTCCCTAAATCTCCTCGCCGCTCCTCAACCCTCACCCATGTGCCGCCGCCGGCCATCGCGCCCCACCATCGATCTGATTCGACCTTGACCGCCGCTCCGCACGTCCTTGATTCCCGCCGTCTCTTCTTAGCCCAATAGCCCACAGGAGATGAATAAGGTTATGGAAGGCGAAGTCTTTGTCTTTTGTTAGATTCTGTCTCCTATGGGATGGAAGTGTTGCTGGTAGCTCTACCTTCTCGTCGCTTGAAGAATTTCAGGGGAGGAAGAAACGAGGTAAGGGTAGAGAGAGAGAGGGGGATGGAATGGTGGTGTGTCATAGATCTCTTACTTGCTCTGCTTTGTGTGGGCTCTTTCAGGCAAGATACGTTCGAGGCAAAGAAGATTGTCCGACCTACGAATAAGCAGTTGCTTCCTTTCCGTCGGAGAAGAGATCATCGGAAGCAGAGGTACATCCTCCCAACCCCTATTTTGACTGTCGGTCAACCAAATTGCTCTTCTCGTTTGACCTTCCATTCAATCGAGCATTTGTACTATTTTACCCATCCTTCCAACCGGCGATTTGGCCTTGTTCACCGTCCGACATACCAGGAATTTTTCGTCGTTATCCGTCCTTCCAATCGGCCATTTATACATGTTTCCCCGTCGGTCACACGAGAAGTATTCCTCGTGTACCATCCTTCCAACCGACCATTTACTTGTTTCAACGACCGGCGGATCACCATTTATACATCGTTTGACCGATGGTCAATCGATTGTTCTGTCTATTTTCAGTATTTTGACAAGCGAGCAGCCCCGTCAATCCCGCCTAGCCCACCGTCCCCTTTTATCAATTTTTTTTTTTTTGCACTGATATTTTCCCGAGTTTATGAAGCTTGTCGTTGTACACGTGTGAGTTCAACGCTAATTAACTGCTCCCATAGATGGCCCAAGGGTGGTTCGGAGAACCGAGGGAGTTTGGGCTCAAAATGGCCCATATGTCATTTTGAAATTGGATACGTACTTATTTTGAAGATTAGTTGAATAGTTCTTATTAAATTTTAGTATTTCAATTAATTTAATTAAACTTGCTAGAAATTGGTAGAAATTATGTCGATTAAACGTTATACACCGTTATAAAAATTGGTAGAAATTTTACTTGTTGTATTTAGAGTAGTTTAATATATATAGTTAAATTATTTTCAATATATATATATATATATATATAGTTAAATTTAGTATTTCATTGAATTTTGTTGAAGTTGTGATATAATTACATTTCACAAATAAAGGACATAATTCTTTTTTCCATGAAATTAAGATTACTACTAATTCAATAACACAAGATAAAATATTATTTGAACTTTATACGAACCTAATAAATGTTCACAAATACGTTTCCAAATCATATTCTAAATTTCTAATAGTAGCATTGTATGTTTTTGAAAATGTCGAGAATTGAAAAATCTGGAACCATTAAGGATCGAATGAAAAACCGAACCTGTAGACCTACGACAACTGGGCGAAAAGAAAATGAAGACAAAAATCCTCGTAAGAATCGAGCGAGGCAGAAGAAGCTACAAGTAGAGCGTCCTGACGGTCATCCTACTCAAGGGCAGTTGTCTCTTAGTCAGAAAAGTCCCACACCTACATCTGATCGTGTCGATACTTGGGAGCCGAGTTGGGAGGACTCTATTTTGGATGATGGTATACTGATTGATGATGATGATCATGATGAGGCAGAGAAGCTCGCTCAGACTCAGGTTCAGAGGTACTTAGGAGCTCCGATGACTTCTACTTCCTCGACGACATGTCGGGGTCCTGATGGACACTTTCGGACAGCATCTAGTTCTCAGCAGTGTGGTAACTCTAAGAAGAGGAAGAAGAGAGCCAACAAAGACAAGTCTTGGCTTTTTACGAGAGAATCAGTAGTGATGCGTAAGGGCGGACCGATGATTCCCGACGTGATCCCTAGTTTTGCTGGTCACGTGGCCCATGTGTTGTGGACTTCACCTGAGCAGGATCGTGGGGTGCTTGAGTGCTACCATCGGAGTACAAATTTGGACATGTTGAAGAAATATAAGTGGAGTGTAGAAGGTTCTCAAGTGATGGTTCAGGCCACGGGGTTATCTCACTTGCTCGAGTGCACGATGCCTCATTTGGATTTTGCCCTTTTAACGGACTTTGTGGAGAGGTGGCAGCCAGACACTAACACCTTCCACATGCCATTTGGGGAGATGTCGATACTTATCCACGATGTTCACTACATTCTTCGTCTTCCAGTGGATGGAGCATTGTTGAGATATGACTCGCCGCAGCCGGAGGCTTTAAAGGCCGACATGTGTGGTCTTATTCGAGTTGGCGACTTGGAAGGGGCTGTTGGTGGTAAGTGGAGTACTATTTGGTATATGAATGGTAGCATGCATGGAGAGGGTGCTTTGTTTCGTGCTGGTGAGCTTCAGATTAAGGAGGTTGAGGTGCAGTGTTACTTGTTTCTGCTGCTAGGGTCCACATTGTTTGTGAACAAGAGTCGAGATCGCATTCGTCATGCAGTCAACTTATATCTGAAGAAGTACCATGATGTGGCTGGCTACGCTTGGGGTGTTGGTACACTTTCCTATCTTTATAGACATCTTGGCGTTGCTTCACGAGCTGGCTGTAAGGGAGTGTGTGGATATTTGACACTCTTGCATGCTTGGATATATGAGTACTTCCCCGAATTTCGTCCTAATAGGGTGCAACAACAGTCTCCGGAGGACCCTCGTGCTTCATTGTGGGTGTGTAGTCGTTTGAAGGGTAGAGATGATGCAAAAGAACGTTTATTACGCTACCGTAGCATATTGGATGGCATGTCTGCAGATGATGTGACTTGGAATCCATACGGAGGACATGCTGGTGTAGAGGTTATGCGTTCTTTATACAATGGTGTCATCCGATTTGCTGATGTGGCTTAGGGTTATGATCCTTCACGGTGCCTTCGACAATACAGATACCGACAGGCGATCCCACGACCCATGATGATACCAGACCATGACTTTCGTCCAGCATCTGCCAAGGACTACAATGTGACATGGTTTCCTGGTTATGATCAGTTTTGGACCATGTGGGAGAGCAATAGGTGGGCATTTGATGCTTTCTTTACACCGTGCGAACGTCCATCTGATGTCGAAGAGGGCTTCATGGACTGGTACCGAGCTCACTCCCACCCATTTGTCACCAGCCTCAGCGTTACTAGACAGATTCCTCGTGAATTGGTAAGTTGTTTTACATTATGAAACTTTATTAGGCATAAATTCACGATTAAATCATTCTAACATTTGTTTATTATTGTGGATAGATTCCGAGGCAAATTATGCAAAGGCTTTCACCCTTTCTTCGTGAGAGGGATCATGGTCGTTTCATTGAGCGCATGAACGAGTGGTGGGATTTACGTAGTTCATGTGACGAGTTGATTGATCAGTACGATGGAGGAGCACCTCCTACGGGAGACCATTAGGAGTGCATGTGATTTAGCTTATTTGACCTTTTTGTTTATGTTACTATCTGTGAGAACATTGATTTACATATTGTATCATGTATGAGAACATGGAATTGTGCTTTTATTTATTTGACCTTGTGTTTATTGAACTATCTGTGAGAACATTGAAATATGTTTTTATGAGAACATGGAACCATTCTCGTGATATTTCATAACCAAAGAGCATCAAATCATCATTGACGAATGTTGAAAGATACATGTTCATTACTTCTACTAATTAACCTTTTGGGTTCAAACTATCATAATATCCTCTCTCCTCCAAGAATAATTGATCCCATCCATGCACGGACACATCATGATAGACATTCCAAAGACGAACAAATGGAGGCAATGACAATCTACCGTCACCGAAGTCAACACGCACCCAATGATCGCCGGTGAAATGTAATGTCAGAATTCCACGAGGTCTTCTTACCCCCGATGGGGCCGTCAAAGGCAAAATGGTGTACCGACTTCCCTGAGAGAAGACAGCAATGACCCATGAATGTAACGTGGCAAAGACCCATAGATCCAAACTATCCATCCAGTTGGGTCGCTGACAACCAGTTTCGTGTTTCCAAGTGGCTCGCCGAATTGCTTCTTGTACTCCACAATTTCCAACTTCTTCATAGAACGGTTTGTAAAGCTCTGGGCGAATTTCTAGTTCCGCTAAGAGATCACGTCTCATCTGCCCCCAATTATGTTGAGAACCAGTGACAGCATGTGATATAGCACGATACCCACAATGCCCATCTCCAAGAGGATTGAACCAACCACGAAGAAGGGGTTTGACTACGCTTTCAAAGTTCCAACCATATGGGTAATCCTCCCACTTTCTTTTTTGATTGGCAATCCTAAATGGCGCGCCACCTATACAAATATATTGAACAAAAATGAGCAAATTGCAAGGTAGGTAACAATTAATAACATAAAGGCACTAAATCAGTTGAGGTCAGACCCGTATTAACTTCTTCATCATCTTGCCTATGGGACCCAACGCCTTGGGTAGACTTTGAGTTTGGACCTGTATCTTGCCTTTGTGACCTAGTGGGTGCGTCACCTATCCAAATGTATGAGAAAAACATATAAATTCAAGTAACCTAACCATCCATCTAAACAATGCTAAATCAATTGAGGTTTGGACCTGTATTAACTTCCCCCTCATCTTGCCTCTGAGACCCAACGCCCTGGGTGGGTTGTGAGTTTGGACCTGTATCTTGCCTCTGTGACCCAGTCGGTGCATCACCTACCCAATTGAATTAAAAAATAGATAAATTAAGGCAACCTAACCATCCATCTAAGCATGCTAAATTCAGGCAACCTAACCAGCCATCTAAACATACTAAATTCAGGCAACCTAGGCATCCATCTAAACAATGCTAAGTTAATGGGAACCTGTATTTTCTTTGTTAGTAGACTTTCTCTTCCGAGTTTGGGTGGGTTTTCTTGACTTGCGTTCCTTGGTCACATGCTCGAAGTAAGAAGGGTTTCTTGTGGTAGATGTCTTCCTCGGACGACCGGGCTTGGGATGTGTACCATGAGGTTCATCGATGCCATCATCCTCGGGATAAAGGTGACTTTGTAGCAAGCTAGTGGCTCCTAGAATTATTTCATCATCTCTACGGAGAAACTCCTCTGCCATCCTCTGGAAAGTCTCGCGATTATAACGGTTGTGGTCTTCCCAAGCTGCACGGTTGGGAGGTTCTCGATAATTCAACGTGAACCAAAACTCAAACACCTCATAAGGGTAGAAGTCTCGATCTTCTTGACGTGCTCTCAACATCATACATCTACATGGGAGACCATGAGTTGTTGGAGACGTACATGGACAAGGTTTTCCTTCCTTTGCTATTTCCCTAAGCATAAACCTCAGTGCAAATAGACTTATGGTTTTTGTTAACTCCCTAAAAGGAATTCCTTGAGCTCGTATCATCTCTTTTTGTTGAGAGTCCTCTAGAAGCTTTCTGATTTCACCATGTTGAGCTTCAATGTGCCTGTGGTTAGTCTTATACACCTGTAAGAAAAATGGAGATAAAAAGAACAAGAACGTTAGAGAACCATCAACAAAGACCAACAATGAGAACATTAGAAAACTAACCGTGTCTATTACCCTAGTAGATGATTGCAGTCACTTTTTGAAGGACGAGTGAGCAGCTTCAACACTGTTGGAGCTTGTATTGCATAAATGTGCCACTTGGTTGGTATAACATTTAGCCCACATTTGTGCATTTGGTAACCACTCAGCTTTGATATAACCCCAAAGTCTTCCATATTCACCACCCAAAGAACGTCTGAAGTTGTTTAAGGCTATATTCATTGCTTCTTCTGTGCGTGATTGTACCACAGGTTTCCAAGAATGCATGACCTGCTCCACAATTAGTTGGGCTCCGGGTATCTCAAGACCTTTCTTCTTCCGCACTTCAACCAAACATCTAGCCCGAATATTCTTGTCTATGTGCCAAAGACATAGTAAATGCCTAGATGATGGAAACGTGACACTAACAGTCTCGACCAATCCTCCAGCCTTGTCACTGACTATCGCATGTGGAGTGATAGATCCAAGAATGAATTGCAAGTGCCTCAAAATCCACTCGTAGGACTCCTTTGTCTCATCGTACACTAAAACAGATGCAATGACAAAGTTCGGGCCCACCGGTGTCATGCCAACAATCTCAACCCACGGATACTCATACTTATTGGTCTTGTATGTTGCATCTATCACAATGACATGGTGCCAAGCTCGTAACATTTCAATCGAAACAGGATGCGCTAGAAACAAATGGGTAAGCAAGTTACCTTCCTCCATATAATGTACATAACAGTTCTTCTTTCGAGCATCGTGAAAGGTAACTGCAAGGATGTCATCTCACCAAGACCATCTTTCCTTATCTTTGCCAAAGCATTGTAAATTTGCTTTTTGGTGTGGTGACCTTCTTCTCCTTTTCTCTCGTTCACTGTCTCTAAAATATTTCTTGCTGGTACACGAGATGACTTAAGCTCTCGAATTAATTCCTTATCTTTCGGGGTGAGAACATTCCCTTTTCGTGCCCCCTCTCGAAAAAGCTCCAACGGATGATTGTGGAAACCACTATATTGACTCGGATTGTTCATGTTGGTCACTCCCATAATCAACCAACTCACTTCATTTTTTGGCCGCTCAATCTTGATCTGGAACTGGCATCCGGTCTTATTTGAAGAAGTAAATTCTCGCTTTTTAACTGTCGGATCAGAATGGTTGGACTTTCTCTTCTTACCATGAGTGCAAGTCAAATAAAATCGCCGACTATTTTCGTTTGGATTTTTTTTTGTTCGACGTCCGCACTAAATAGAACCCTAAACCCTTGGCTATTTCACATGCTGCTTTATAGGCTTCCTAAAATATGTATAAAAAATAAGATTCATTCAACCTAACATAACATTTATTAACCTAAAAATCCCTATGCAATTTATATTAACATAAAAGATTAGTAAATAATTTGTAACAAATAAAGTCCATTCACCTTAACATGTAACAGTAACATTCATACTAGAAACCACCCTATGTTCAATTAAATTGCTTAAATAGATTGCAACAAATCAAGTTCATTTCATAACTAAAATTCGTACAGAAATAAGTTAGTTCATAACATAAATACCTCATCCGAGTCGCTATCACTATTCATGGCAAGTATAGGACGGTAGAGCGGAACTGGATCAACGAATATCCTGAAATTAAATTAATAATAAATAATCAATTTAAATTGTCACACTTAAAATAAATTAATCATTTAAACTTGTAACATTTAACTACTTAAGCCTAATACGTATTGTTACATGTTTCTTCATAATTATTTTAAATTTATAAATGTTTTATTACATTAAATATTTTTTCAATAATAATGTATAATGTGCACATAATCATAATTAAACAAAATCCTATGGGCTCAAACGCAGGTAAGAAAATGAATTCAAATTCTGAAATTATAAATTCATTACTAATGGTTATATGGGCTCAGCCCATCCACTGGTTATATGGGCTCCAACGCAGGCAAAAAAAAGAGTGAATATGGTAGTTAAACGCAGACAAAATTTCGTTCGGCCACGGAGATAAAAAGAAGTTTGACCGACGTTGGACCATAGAACAAACGAAAAAATGGCTATATCTTACCAATGGCCGGCGATCTGGGACCTCTAGGGCGGGAGGAAGAAGGTGCAGGAGTGGCGCCGTCGTCGGGCTGCTTCTCCGGCAACAAGTGCGGTGAGGCGAACGGGAATGGGCCTTCTCCGGATCTCCGTCTTCTCCGACAACGCAGGGACAGAGGTGATGGCAGCTGGCCGGGAAGGCTGTGGCTGGAGGAACAGAGACAGAGGTCGGCGGTGAGAAACAGAAGGCCTGTGCAAGGGGAGAAACAGAGACCGGCAAGGAGAGACAGAGGTCGACGATGGCCAGCGAGCTGGGACGACTACGATGGGAGGAAGAATGAGTGCAGGAGTGGCGTCAACGTCGAGCTTCTTCTCCGGCAACAAGTGCGGTGGGCGAACGGGAATGCACCTTCTCCGGATCTTCGTCTTCTCCAACAATGCAAACCCACCAGTGACAGTGAGGCAGAGGTCGACGAGGTTGGAGCTTGGGGAGCAGGTGAGAGAGAAGAGTGAAGGGCAGTTTGTCGGCTTGGGCAGTTTGTCGATATGCAGGGGCGATGTACGACAAGTCGATATGCAGGGGACAGGGGTGATGTAGGAGAGAGGAAGTTGGACTTGTGACTTGGTCTCTTGGAGAGTGCAGTGAGATGGACGAGAGATATGTTTGGACTCTAGTACATAATTTGAAATTGATAATTGGACAAATAGGTAAATTAATATAATTTAGGACGATAGAAAGTAATTTTAAGGACGTCATTTAGCAATCCCCAAGTAAAAAACATCAATAATTATCCCAAATAAGACATGTTTTATTTGATACCATAAAAATTCAAATTATTTAATTATTAAAAATATAAAAAAATACCATACTCGTTGAGTTTTTCAATGTGCCAATAGATTCACTGACAAAAGTCTTTACCCAAACTAAACAACAAAAGTCATGCAATGGAATCGGCTCTAGAAAACTTAATCAAACCACACTATTTGCACCTCGTTGTCAAGAATAAGTGCAAATTTTATGTTCGATTTCTTGGTGATCGCTTTACCATTAAAAAAAATCATCATCTCCACCAGTATCAATGCTTTTGTCTTCGTTAATGAAACATTTATCTTCACAATAGCTCTTCCTTCTTTTTAAACATTTCATTGAAAGCCAATCTTTAATGGTAAAATGTTTGAAATATGAAACATCATTTTCACAATGCAGAATTTACGTCGTTAGTCATTATCATTTTTTATATTAATTTTCTCTCTCTAACACTGTAAGCTACCTAGTGCTAACAAATTTTGATAACCTTTAGATTGAAAACTTAATGAATTACTCATAGGAGTGTTAAAAATTATCCAACGGGTACCATTTCCTTTTATATAAAGAACATATTTTCTTCTTCATTGAAAATTCTCTTCAACTCTGTCTTATGTGAGTTAATTTATGAAATGTAAATAATATAGATCGGGCAGTGTATTGTTGTTCCTGTTTTCTCCTGTTTAATGCAATTCGATCACCATTATAAAAAAGAGAATGTTATTTTGTATGATGTTATAGGACTCTTGATTGACATTTTTTCCCAAAATATTCCAGTGAATATAATTTTCTAGAGCATAATTAATTTAATTTTTATCTCAAAATTTATTAAAATTAAATTAAATGATATATGATTCATTCAAAACTAATAACGAATGGTTATGCGGGCTTTCGAATTGTACACCTAATATGAATTACCTAGATGGATACAATAAATAAAAGATTACGAAACTGTACTGAAGGTTGTACCAAAAGAGCCAACAATAGTGTAATTTATATTGAAACCGTGATGTGGTTCAATCATTTCATAGCGCTAAAACCCACTTACCATTTTAATTTCCTTTAAGAGTTTTTTACAATCGAACCACCGATATGATACAGTTTCACAAACACTGCAATAAAATCACAACCGCTAATAATATTAATATATAAATATAGCATAACATAGCAACTAAAAAACAATGCCAGTTTTTCAATTGAAGTTCAATCCTTTCTATAGTTAATGAGTTAGGTGATTTAAGCCCACCAAAATTGCCTGCTTACCGGATCAATAAAAAGACCAAATAACCCTCCCTTGCTTTGCGCAGGAGCTGGGAAAAAACAAATTAGATGGGTTTCTAAGAAGAACTTCTATATATTATTTGGAAGGAGGATAAGGTCTGGTGTAGCGTTTAAGCTCAAGGAAAGACAATGTACCGGTATATTACGGTTTTATTGCTTTGTACACAAATAACAAAAAGCAAACCAATATCGTAGAGAAAGATAACATGTACTACATTAGTTACATGTACTACATTATTGTTCGACTAGAGAAAAAAATGTTAATGATATTACTTTAGGCATACGTTGTTTTGTCTAAAATGTCAATTGGCAGATCGTGGTTTACTGTATTTGATTGTAAACTAATTTATTTTAACTTTGATTTTAGACGTGGGTCGATTCTCTTTGGTTGAGTGACTAATTTATGAATGATTATTTACTTATGTATATCGAAAAATGTTTGATTTGCAACATAAGCGATGAATGTATTTTTTAAAAAAATCAGGATATGAAAAATCGTCATAATTCGTAGTAAACATGACGTTGTCAACTTATAAATGAATTTACAGTACTTTTTATTAAATTTTCTATTTTTATTTATTTATTTTATTTATTATAATTTTTTATTGGCGACACCTTTCTTCAACAATCCTGGATCCACCACTGGTGGAAACTAAAAATTTTCATAGCAAACAATGCTTGTTGTATATAATCAACTAAGCAAGCTTCTCTAAAAACTTCAACTTATTCATAACAGCAATCCAATCAAACAGGCTTTTCATCTCCCAGGCTCCCAGCCACTAGAGGTTGGTCAAACCGTCATCAAACGTTGTTCAGTTTAACTCTTCCAATTGGATAGATATGAAACCATCAAAGCTCTTACCTAACTAGAGCTAACAACCAATATAGAAGAAAAGCATCTTTATTTTGATGGAAATCCTGCATTTGAAAGTGTGTTTTCCAACCTTAATAGTTGTTGTCACGATAAATTTACTGTTGTAATATAAAATTGGGTGCCTAATCCTCCAATCAATATATGGAGGTTCTCAGCGAAGACCCACCTCATTCACTTTTTCCAGGCTTCTGCGCAAAGGGAGGAAGGGGTCATTTGTCTTTTTCCTTTTTAATTTTTTAATGCAGAAAACATGTTTCTGTTTTTGCTGTGTATAATTATGGGTCTGAATGTTTAATGGGCCTGATTAATTTTTTAGATTTTTATTTAATTAAGGACGTGGAGTTCTTTTCTTTATTGTCTATAAAATTTATGAAGCAGATTCATGGGCTGTTTTTGCAGGGATTCAAAAACTCTGGCTCCTGAGAGCTTTACGGAAGGGAAGATTAGACATTTCGGTTCTGCACATTTAATTGAAGTGCTGCGTTTTTGTTTTACTGAGCCCAATTGTTTTTATCATGCATGGGCTAAACGGAATGCCTTCGGACATCATCTGGGCCTATTCTTGGATTTTCCCTTTTCCACAGAATTTGCAATTTAATCAAAATTCAAAACTCACCCCTATCTCCATCGTCTCTCCGTCGCTCACCAAACAAAGAAACCCCTTCGCCTTCCTCTTCAATATGCAATTCCTTCTCACTTCGACAATCAAATCTTCTTCTACCTTCGACTCTGGCCATCAAATCGTCTCTGCCACTCACTTCATCCCAGCAGAGAGTTGTTGTAAACCCGCCGCCGTGTTATTATCCACCAATTCCTCTTGCGACTCCGACCAAAAACAAGCGACAAGCATGGGAGCAGTACTTCAGGAGCTTTAGGGATTTCGTCGGAAGTTCTACCACCCCTCTGCCGCCGTGAATCGAGGGTCACTAACGCTGTCCGTTGTTTCTATCGCCCTCCTCCGCCGTGAATCGATGGTCCTGTGAATCGATAGTCACCAACTCAACCGCTTTTTCTTCCTCTTATCGCCAGAAGAAAAAAAGAACAAAGTTGATATTAAAAAAAAACAGAGTATATCTTGCTCTCTCGGTCGAAGAGGATGGAGCGAAAGGGGATGGAAAGTGACCGTTTTTTAAGTTTGAGATTTAAGAGTGAAGAATATACATGCAAATTTGTATGTTGCTCATCTTGGTGGGAGTCTCGAGATGGGAAAGGACAGAGGAGATAGAGAAGAAAGAAAGTTCCAGATGGTGTTGGTGTCACTGGTGGGTGGGAGTAAACAAGCGGAGAGATAAGGGGAATTGGCTGAAAATGCAAAATAAAAGAACAAAAATAAGTGACATGATAAGATTAATTAAAATTATTGAACATTTTTAAAATATATTAAATTTTATTAGTTAATGATATTTCAGAAAAACTAATATGTTTTTTTAAATGTAAAAAAAACTAATATGTGTTTAGCAAAAATAATAGTAAGATTAAATAATGAAAAAAATGAAGGTGGCCCTCAGTTCGGTTGTTAATTCGGTTTACTTAAAATATAACCTTATCGAAGTACTAATTTAAAGTTCATCTGATTAACTGACAAAATAACGGAGAACTGATTACGTGATTTTGGTAAACCAAAAAATATAAACGGTACGGCTTGCATTAAGCAAATTTTTTTAATTAAACAGTTAAATGAAAATTGATTCAGATTATAACCGAACAAAACTGATTTTCAGTTCATGAGGCATTCCTTCGCAGTGTAATTTTGGGTATATTTTTAATTTATTTATAATCCCCTATATAATTTTATTAGCAGCAACTGAAATTACATGAGCACAACCAAGCTCTCTAGGACCTCTGTAGATCCAACATCAAATATGTCTATGAAATTTATGATGGAGATTCATATCTCCAATTTTCTCCATTTTAAAAATGTTGTTATGTGAGTGTTTCACGGAAGGTTATTAATGACTCTTCCCCTGTCTAAATGAAACTGTGTGTTCCATTTAAGGAAGCCCATAATTGGATCCGCGCCAACCGGGCCTCCTATACTCTCATTTGGGCCTTTCAATAACAACTTTGAGTTATAACTCCGCGACAAGGTTTGAGCAATTTTATTTCACTTTAATTTATATTTTAATTTTAATCTTTTATCAAATTTTACCGATTTGGGAGGAAATCCCTTATTTTCAAAAACCGCCAGATTTCGTCATCTTCCCCTTTCAGAAAATCTACCAACAACATCTCTACTCGGACCTATCCCTACTACGTAGCATTGGGCAAGAACGCACTCACCCCGAGAAGACGATTGCATTGGAGTCCTCTACGGAATTCACTTTCTCCTCTAGCAGGTGTGCAAAATCACCCTTCCATCTTGGATGTGATTTCTTTCTTCAATACAAGAGCATTTCCTTCAGATCCTCGATTGGGTCAATATTGATAAGGACATAGTATTTATAGGTCAAACGGAGAAGACGGTTGGTGATGGCGGAGGTGGAGGCTAAAACGCAATACCAATTTGGCCAAGCTAAGCCGCCTGGTAGTTAGTTTGGTAATCTTTTTGGACACACACTTGAATTCATTTATTATGGGGTTGTTTGGAGATGGGATTTGTTGTGATGTATGTAACCAATCCACTAGCGAATAGAATTTGCCCTTCTCTTTTTTTTTTTTTTTAATATGGTTTCCCATAGTCGATATTAGGTTCACTCTTTTTAGATGCAAATTGATGATTTTCAATTTTTTAATTGTTAGTAATTTTTTGCATTTTTTTCATTCTTCTTAAATGTTATGTATAAAACTTATACACTTTTTTTCTGCACTCCTCTTTACTTGATTAACTGTTGTTGCCATGCTAAACTCTCACATCCA